TTTAGCTTTCACATCATGTTGGACAGTAACATAACCTGTTGCATCATATGAATACAATGTTACCTTTTTCTGTGCCTATTGTGTTAACATAATATTCACTCAAAGCAAAGCTAAATGCAAACAGGTTCTACTAATTTGCGAGCTATCGTGGCCTGTGAAGTACAGTTGTCTTTCCTCCAGCACTATTTCTACATGTTAAAGACTTGTCAGGCCATGAGAACAGCAGGTATTATAATACAGCAGAGCCACAAAGACCAACCTTTCCTAGCCAGTAGGAGGGCATTGTTTGGTTATTGAGCACAATAGTCAGATGTTCAGAATGCTTTCTCTGTAATGACCCATTGTCACTACAGCAAACTCTTCTGTGTGTGTGTGTGTGTGTGTGTGTGTGTGTGCACATATGCACGCACACACACACTTGTGCACACTCTGTACATATTTTGTTTAATTAGGCACTACCACTTGTATTCTGCTTTCCAGTAGGTATGATTACACACCTCACCTGAGTGCACTGCTGTTCTGAGTGCTTCTCCCTTCTTCTTCCAGTGGAAGTGTTTCCCACTGTGTCCTTTCTTTTCCCGAATGCTTTGGTGTGTCTCTAAGGCTTCCTCTCTAGAGAGACAACACTGTATATCATCTTTTGGTACCATCTCATTTTTCATGTAGTGCTGTTCAGAATTTTTTAAAAAATAATCTTTGTGGTTCATTGATAGTTTCAATTTACATTCTTCCCTCCCATGACCAACACTACCTGGAGGCCGACTGGCTTTTGAGGAGGAGCCTTAAGAGTGCCCCTTCAAAGAGCATTTGCACAAATGAAGTTTATGTATATGTACATAAAGTCTTCTTAAATTATAGTACTGGGTTTCACCATCGAGGCCAATTAGACATAATAGAACATGTACATAGGCAGGCATATGCTGTTTAATTGGCAAGAAGATTATGAAATACAGACCTTGCTACACAAAGAATTAATTATGCAGGTTGGACACCTGCTGCCCTGGTCTGCTCTCTTAATTGCAGGGGGTGGGCACCTATACCTTTTAAGTCATAAAAAGGCCGTCTATGTACATTTGTTAAACACAAAGAACCCCAATAAGAATAAAATTAATGTTACAATTATGGCCATTAACAACCAAGCCACTCAACTTACCTTTAGATTTCTTTGAAGATATGTTAAACAATTAAGTTTAAAAAAAGCAACACATTTGCATATATGGTGTAGTCTTGCACTGAATAAAGATATAACCTTTATTTAGCCTTTGATGATCATTACCACAAAGCAGTCTCCCTAAAGAAATATTGGAAAAAATAATAAAAATACAAATTTAGAAACTGGTAAAAGGTATAATTCTAATTTTACATGCAATATAATGGAAATGATAGGAAACATGTTAGAGAACTTTTAGGATGATTTTCTATGTGGGTCATGCTACTGGAAAATAAACAGAAAGTTTGAAATGTAAAGCTTAAAATAAGTTAAGAGGTAGTCTATTTTGCATATTTTTTAGAACCTGGAAAGACTGGTTTCTGATTTCTTCTGCTTTTTGTTTTTCTAATCTGGAGTATAAGCTATCAGCCAAAGTTCATACCAAGTAATAATTGCTAATAAGGTAATACCTCATAGACTTAAAGATTGAACTTAAAGCACACTTGAAATGTAGTTTGTTAGGGCTTAAACCACAGAAACTTACTTTCTCCCAATTCTGGAAGCTCGGAATGGAGATCAAGACATTGACTAGGTTGGTTTCTTTCTAGATCTCTCTCCTTGGTGATAGATGATTCTGCTATTGGTGACTGTACATATTGCCCCTCTATGTGTATCTCTGTCCTAGGCTTTTCTTAGAAGAACACGAGTCACTTTGGGTTGGAACCATCCAGATCTTAGTTACCTCTGTAAAGATCGTATCTCTAAATTCAGTCACATTCTTAGGTAATCGTGGTTATAACTATTCCATTTAAAATTTGAAGGGACTCAAGTTAGCCCCTGTTTAAAATTACCTGTTGAAAGTGGCTTTTGGAAGGTTGATCACTCCTATGGTTCCTCACCCCAAATTTGAGCTCAGAGGCAGCAGGAACTATCCATGAATTCTTTGTGAAAAATGCATTGGGACTACTAAGAAATAGGGGACAGCAAAGTGATCAGTTCTGAACATTATCAATGTCCCTGATTATTAGCAGATGAACCAAAATAGTTGCTACAAGATCTCTAGATGAGGAAATGAAAATACAATATATTCAAATGAAGACACCTTTTGTCAGGAAAATAAATGAATATGTTTTGCTTATGACTTTCCATGCTCCATGTCCAGCACTGTAATTGAAATGAACATTGAGATCCTTGTGCAGCACCAAAGGTCAGGTCTGAGCTATTTGAGAGCAAGGATAATGACTGTCAATAGACCACAAGTCTAAGAATGAACACAGATATAATGTAGATAGTACTATCCAGATTCTTCCCAAACTAACTGTACTGAAAAAAGAAATAAACTATGACTTTTAATGCTGCATCTAGAGATCTGTTGGGTTCTTAGACAACAGCCAAGCAGATTTTAGGGATATAACTGAGACTTCTCTGTCCCTACCATTTTGAGCTTCCGGTCTGACATAGAAAGAAACTGGAAGATCTTTACTACAAGGTAAAGTTTGTCTTCCTAAAGAAGGCAATTATTATTTGATGATTCAAACACATCAAAAAGCTTAACTAGAAATACCTTTGGTCAACTTGTAGCTAAATTAATGTGTCTCAAAAAAATAGGCAGGCAGAAAGTTTCCTTAGTGGTGAGTTTTACTTTCAAATGCTTGTATTCCCAGTTCTTTACAGAAAAAAAAAATCATTGACATTTTCTTGAGAATAAAAGAAGTCTTGGAAAAACAAATCATTAGAATAAGCAAGAATTTTTCTGAGAGGTAAGTGATTTGTCCTACAAATTAGAGATTGGAAGCTTTAGCATTGATGTTTGGAACCTAGAATTTAAGTCCTAAAGTAGTCCAATTTTGTTCAAATGGAATAACCCAAAGAAGCACAAGAGCCCAGAAATTACATCTGCTTGACTTTTTTTCATTGTTTCCATATGCCTACATTTTATATGAATTTTAATAATGTTTTTTATTTCTAAGGAAACTTTTTTCTCACTTAGTACTTGTAATATTTTAAGTTGTGCTTAAAGAATGCTTTTTAAAGCAGTAATTTTGAAAAGCAATAGCTTTATATCAATCTATACCAATTAAACTTAAAATGGATCTCAATTTGGGTCTTCTATAAGTGAAAGCCAAATTCAGATTTTTAGGTGCTATGAATTTATGCCTTGAAAAGAGCTTGTATATTTTAGATTTTAATTTTGTTTTCTTCACCCATTCCTGGTAAATGTCAGGAATAGCCTCTTGTCACAAAATAGATGGTGTGATTTTAGGCAAAGATGGAACCTCTTTTAGATGAAGCTAGGTTAGGGTTGGAGAAACTCAGTGGCTCAGAAAGCAAATCAACCAAAAGTGAGAAAATCATTCCAGATCTTGCAGAATGTGCTCCCAGGTATCTAAGACCGCAGTGTTAGTGATGGCTGTGGACTAGTGTAATTTTGAGAGAAAGGGGGTAGGTGATTTGCATTCTAGGATAACATGAAATTAATAGGGTAGTGTAAGGAAAAGAGCAGGGAGTAAGTCTAGATAATTAATTTTAGTTACTCTCCTATCCTGCACCATGTTGTTTCCAGTAAGTTGATTATCCTTTTGAGTTTCATTTTCCTTGTTGATATAATGAAAATAAAACCTACTCACAAGCTTATTATGCAAAATTACTTTATAGGTAGATGTGCTATAAACATTAGTGGTGATAAGAGCAAAGATACTACTGTAATATTATCCCAGGGACTGAACCTGGTTATCTACATTTCCTACCTCATGTTTCCTAGCCAAATGGACTAATTAATTGGCTTATGCAAAACTTTCAAAACCAAAAATAACACCTAAGTCTATTTATTAACCTACTAATAAAGTGTGATTCTTAATTATTATTTGTTAAATAGTAGGCTTATCTGCAAAATGGAGAGTCAGAACTAGAGGAAATCTTATCTAATTTCATCCCTTCTCTTTGGGCAGGGCTGTATCAAATATGAATTAGCTCTGACAGATGGTTGTTGGATTCTGTTTCTAAATTTTTTAAAAAGATTTCACAGTTTTCCTCTCTAAATTCTTTTAGTAATTTAACGAAACTTGTGCCAAGTTTTTCCTTATAGCTGACCTAAATCTGTAGTGTGTAATTTTAAGCCCTTTCTCCACTGCAATCTGTCTTCACTAGAGATGAGGAACAGCTGGTCAGCACACTTACACTAACAACCCTTTGTATATTTAAAGAAGCGTTACTCAGTTTGCCTCCCTGTCCATGTCCTTCTGCCCTGCAGAATTCATCAGCTTGTGTTCTTTGAGTCATTCATGCAACACTGTCCCGATCCCTACCCCTTTCTCAGATGACTGGCCATTTCAGACAGCTGGGTACAGCTTATCATTAGTGACCTCATGGATCTGGGCAGAATATGAATTCCTTCTGCCCTTCTCCCTTTTGCTTTGTGCATAATCTTTAGCTTTATAATAAATGGTCCAAAGCAACTCCTAATTGTGTTGGATGAGTACTCGAAACATGTCATAAATATGGAGTGTTGCAGGCATACTTATTATGCATAGGTTGCTTTGAAAAGCCTCTTTGGTGATTTGGTGCACCCTGCCAGACATGCCATTAAGCTGCTACTTTGCCTGCTAAAGATAACATTGATTGATACCTCTGCTCTATTGGAAGACATTGAGCTAAAACTCTCCCGAGTGCAATGCACATTCAGAAGAGCACTACCAATTTGGAAGAAGTAATGGGTTTCCCCAGTGCTCTAAGTTGTATTAGGGAAAGAAGTGATCATTGAAAAGAATTGAGCTTTCTAAGCTGATCCCACGGGGTTTCAGAGAGGATCTTGTTTTTAATCTGAATCTGTGTAACTTTTATTTCTCTATAGGTTTATTACCCAGAGCTCTTTGTCTGGGTCAGTCAAGGACCATTTCCAGACAAGGAAATGGATGGAAGTCTTCCTAAGGTAAGATCTCTAGCTACCAATTCACAGACACCGTTCGAAAGCTAGCAGCATAGAAAACTGAACTTACTTCTTTTTTAGTGTAATATCTATTATATGCTACAATCTTGTTAATAGCAAGTATTTTAAAATCACAGCTTAAAATCTTGTGTCTCTTAAAGTTTATGTTAGCTTTCTTGACAAGTAAAAGCAAAGTTTCATGTAAGAATCATAGTCAGTATGTCAAATTGCATTTCACAAACCAAGCAATCCCACTTTGGGGCATTTACCCAAAAGATCACAAACAAGACCATAGTAAAGCTACCAGCACAACTATGTTCATCACAGCATTATTCACCATAGCTAAAATATGGAACCAACCCAGATGCCCCTCAGTAGATGAATAAATCAAGAAAATGTGGTATAAATATACAATGGAATTCTATGCCTCCATCAGAAAGAATGGCATCGCCCTGTTTGTTAGGAAATAGAAAGACTTGAAAAAAAAATTATATTAAGTGTAGTAATCCAGGCCCAAAGAAACATAGATCCTATGGTTTCCCTTATTTGCAATAATATATGTACATATTCTGCTTAGAAAAGGTCAAAAGCTATGTACATATGACATAACCTGATGCTAAGCGAAATGAACCCCAAGATAGGGACACAAGAGGTTTTATCTTTGTTGCTCCTGTTTTTAATGTACTATGTGATTTTTTTGTTTCTTTTGTGTGTTCCTCGCCCATTGTATAACCCCTATTTTCACTGTATTTGATTCTAGTGCCTTGCATCTTGTATATACATTTTTCTAATTTGGGGAGTGGAAGGGAAATAACAAAATGCTGAAATAAGGATACAGGTTGACCCATTATAGCAATGAGATGTACAAGACACTGTTGAAAATGAACTTTACAACTGCGGGGGGGGGGGGGGCATGGGTGAAGGAGGAGTTGGGGAGATGTAGAGAGAGGGATGAGGGGAAAAACAAAGGAGGGGGTAACAATGCTCCATAGGAAATGTACTCATTACCTTACTCATGTAACTGTAACCCCTCTGTACAGTATCTTTACAATAAAAAACATATATTTAATTAAAAAAAGAAAAAAATTGCATTTTACAAACTTTAAATTTGCTTCATTCTTGGATTAGACAAACAAATATGAAAACCTAAAAACTGGAAGATGAAGGCAGTTAAGGATTGAGATTTCTTAAAAGTGTGAAATGATGGCATTGTTTGGTCTGCTAATAATGCCTGATATCCAGTGAGATCACCCAAGAAACAAAATAGGGATCACATAATTGTTATGTTTTTCCTCCTAATTTTTGGGAATTCCTTTGAATCCATATGATTTTATGTCTGTGATATTTTAGTGTGGCAATTCCCTGCCTTAAGGAAATTTAAAATATTATGTTTAGATTTTAGCACCATTCTTAAAATTTAAAAATAATAATTGACTAGTTTTGCCTGTAGATACCTTTGGACTTTACCTGTTAAGGTAAATATCAATTTGACCTCAAGTAGGAGGACTGTGTTTTTTTTGCCACTGACCTGCTGATTTCGCAATTAATAAAGAGTCATAAAACTTCTATTCAGAAGTTTCACAAGTGTTATTAACCAATGGTAAAGCCTCCCCCAGCTATGACTGGTATTCTAAAATTTAAGAAACTCTTATTTACACTAAATAGTTTCAACAGTTCTCTATTACCGACAGGCAGAATTGTAGAGCAGGTGCCAATTGGCAGTTTACACTAAAAAAAAAAAAATCCAACAACCTTTAAGCATTTTTGATTTTTAGAGAATTTCTGAAGGTCAAGGTTGAGATAACTGGTAAGAAAGTAGATGGACAAAATAGTTTAAGCCCTTCCTGAGCTAGACCTGAACTGTTCTTGTAGAGTTGAGTGGAGGAGAGCTAAAATACTAGAGTTCTGCCACACTTTGCACCTCCCCCACACCTCCAAGTGCTGGAGCTCAATCCCAGGGACCTGCTTATGCTAAACACATTCTTGACCCCACCACTGTGAGATATATATCCGAGACAATCTTCACTGCACCAGATCAAGGTGTGATAACTCTGAAGCACCTGAATGGAAAATGGGAAGACAAACTGTAGCCTTTTTTAAAATTAATTCTTGCCTCATTCAGAGATCCAAAAGTCCTCTCTCTGATATCGGAGATATCAAGTACGTGGGCAAGACCAGATAAAATTCCCTAGTGCGGTCAATGGCCCATTCCTCTTTCTAACTTTCAGAAACCCAGTCCAGGGGCCGTGTCTTACCTCCACTGAAGCATGTTCCAGGGGGTGAGCACAGTGGACTGTGAGAGTCATGCCTTCCACTATTTTAAGTTCTCTCCTCCCTCCATATGAGAATAATATTTCAAGCCTGATATATTTATTCCTTCTCCAGCAGTTTCCTTTGGGACAAGCAGAGCTTTGCCTAATAGTATGAAAATCTTGTCCAGTGCACTTTACTGAGAAACTAGAGACAAATCCAGTCATCATCAGAGGGAGATCTTGCTATCCTGAAGTGTATCCGTCCCAGGAAGACCAGTCTGGATGATGCCCCTGCGGGAGGCCCTGGGCACCCTGTTCCATCTTCCACTCCAGCCTTCTATATTCTAATATTCACGTCTCTTAGTCTTCTAGGAACAATTATGTGCAATTGTTATTTTTGCTTGAACTCCTGTGAGTTCTGACTTCTGGAGAAATCAGATGTCAACGTACTTCCTCTTCAAAATGCCTCCGTTCCCTTGATGCTCTCAGAAACCTTCAGTAGCCCACCTACCTCCTTGCTGTTAGCCATGGCCTTGCTGTTAGCCAATTACTTGGTTCTTTCCCATACAGCAAGTTAATTAAAGGCAGATTAGGCAGGGAGTGTTTTTGATTCTGTGACCCTGTAGGCTTAAAATCTAATAGAGTACTCAAGCACTCAGAACATGAATAATAAATGAATGTTTTGGGACCTCAGAAGAGAAACAAAATAGTAAAAATGCTAAATTCATATCTGAAGTACTCTTCTTCACTTTTTCTTTCTGGAAGCCCATCCTCAGCAACCCCTAGCTCTTTGTCTCAAGTTATTTATTTTTCAAGGAGGTTAAAGGTTAGTCAGACTAGATATGTACAGAGATAGACCAATGTGCTATCTATTCACTTTAGAACAGAGTTAAGTCAGTTTCAAGGCCAGCTGTGTAAAGAATGTACTTGTTACGTGAGTGAAATAACATTTGTAAGCTTTTGATTTCCTTTTCTTCCTGGCTTGTGACAACAGCCATTGAAGTCTTCATTTGTCCAAAACAAAGTTTGCTATGTCGTAAACCACGCTACCTGGTAAACTGAAGTGGTAGCATCATTTTAAAGATACCAGTAGATTTCTCTTGGCAGTACCAGGGTTTGAACTCAGGCTCTTACATTTACTGCTCTACCAATGAGCCCTGCCTACAGCCCCCTTGTGCACAGGTTATTTTGAGATAAGCTTTTTGCCTGCATCTGGATCCCAATTTTGCTATTTTATACTTCTGGCTGCAGCCGGGATGATAGGTATGTGCCACTGCATCCAGTGTGATTTTGTTTTTAAATTCTGTGATTGTATACCAATATTTCAAAATGAAAATTATTTTGAAACCTACAAGAAGCTGCTCAATCTCACTATGCTTCTGGAAATTTTATGAAGATCCTTAAATGCGTTTGAGTGGTGAATTCTAATTTTCTGGTCTAATCTCACTGGTATTTAATGATAACAAAATAACCTCTAAAATTACAACCTAAGACTTGAGCATTAAAGTATATACTTTGTGGAGTCTGCGTCCTACAAATATTGTATGCTTTCAAACTCTGAGATTTTAAAACTGAAGTTAGGCATACCAGATGTTTTACACAGAAATCCTATGCAGTATATGTGGTTCCCTGAAGTTGAATTATTTGCTGCATTTAGTTCAGCCTGAGGCTGCTGAAAATATTTACTCAGTTTCAAATTGTTTGGAAGTTACTGGTTTCTGAATTCTTAAAAATATATTCAAATATGTTAATTTACATATTGCAAAGAGTATTTCTTTCATCCAAGCATTATATTCTAGTAAAAAGAAGAAAAAAAGAAATGAAACCAGGTCTTTTCAAACCACAAAAGATAATTTCTTCCAAGAAAATGCCTATAATTAATAGTTAATTAGCTAAGAGACTGTTGTCAAATCTGACTGTGCTCATATCTGATCAGGGGCATGCAATTTTTTGTGTGTGGAGCATTCCAATTTTCATATCCCTTGGGTAGTGGGCCTTATTCCCCTGCCTACTGTCTGCTTAGCTCTGGTGGAGCGCTGCCCTCCACGCCCAGCCCCCTTCAGCACTGGCAGCAAGAGTGCACTGAGGTTAGATCGGTCTAGTCAGAAATGCAGAATATCAGCCATCAGAACAGGCTTAGAAGAACCCAAGTCAACCCAGACTAGCTGAATTTCACACTTAATGGAGTTGTCTTCCCAGGCCCTTCCCCCAGCTTCCTTCCCAAACACTCCCCTCCTTGGTACTCACTGCTGCTGACCATTGAGACACACAGGAAATGTGCTTCTAAATAAAAACCTGTGTTTATATGAATTTTTTTGTGTGTTAGAAAACAGACTCCATGACATCAACTTAACATACATTTTTTAAAGAAATTGTCTTTGACACAGAGTCTAATGACAGGCCCTTTCTAATGCTAGCAACTAGCCTCAGAAATCTAACTCCCAGGAATGCTGCCTCCCCTGTGGCTGCCCACCATCATCACCAGAGCACTCGATGCTGTTGAAGCAAAGGCGGCTAGTATTTAAGTGCTACATGTCCACAGACCTCATATTTACATTCAGGTGGACTGTGTTTAATGTGTAAACTCTGCAGAATAGCAAGAGTTCAAAGCTAAAAAGTGGGTGGGAGAAGCAAAAATTTTAAAACATGGTTTCAGATATATGACTAAGTTTGTCTTTTGTGTCTGTCTGTCTGACTGACTGTCTGTCTTGTCTGTTTTTATATGGGTCCACCTGCTTTACAGGGAAGATTTCCTGTCCCAAAGGAAGTGAACCGCAAGAAAGATGAGACCAGTGCTGCCCACCAGACTCCACTGGGCAGCAATGAACGCCGCTCCCCAAGTATCAGTTACCTCCACTCTTTTTAATCGTGACACCTCCATTTGTATTACATATGGTGTATGGGTATTGATGAGGTCATGGTATCATATATGGGATTTTTTTCTGTGTAAATCATCGAGTGTAAGAAGAAACTATGGGACTCTGAGCCTTGCTTTACAGAATTTACAGTGGACAAACAGGTATCATCAAACCAGTTTTTAATCATCCTGACTCAAGTGAAAACGCTCAGAATTTCACACTGTGAATCCACGTTTACAAACCCCTACAGATGGGCCTTCAGGCCTGGTTCGCCACGACAATGTCTTCCACAACTCAAACCCCTGCCGTGCTTACATGACCGGTCCACTCTGCCTTCTCGCTCACACAGCTCCTGACTGCTTTTGTGCAGAGGCTGAGAGTCCCCATTTTTTTTTTCATTTAGATGTAACATGCCTAGTAGTTTATGTTCATCAATTGTCTGTATATCTCTATATTTTATCCATGTACTCTTTTGATGTATAGAAGTAGTTCGAAACTCATTGTTTCCTTGTGGTAAGTGACCGAGATGCTGCCACAGGACCTGAGACACTGATGAATGGTGCTATTTTGGACTTTCAACATGCTCCTTGGCGAGGTAGCTCTGATGGAGTTATTTTTTATTTCCATGTTCTAAGAAGGTGTTGGTACTCTGTTTCCCTGAATGTCGTTCTCTAGACTGGATTGACTTGTTTCCTTGTGTCTTCAGTGTGGCTTTCTTCCTCAGTGCTGTAGGTTGAATGAATGCTACCGAGAGTGTGAGAGCCTGCCGTCCCACTGGCTGGCACTCCTGGACAACGCAGTCAGCGTAGCGGGAGCAATTGCAAAACTGTAATTTACTTACCAAATCTCTTCCTTTCCATAGCCTCGCCTGCCTGACTTAGAGAAAGAAAAGCAATAATTTTACAGGCATTTTGAGGTGTCTCTTTGGATTCTTTTCTGTTTGACTGGATATTTGGGGGAAGGGGAAGGGTACACATTAGAAATAAATAAATAAATGTCCGATGATGGATGGGGTGGGGGTGGGGTGGAGATCCAAGGCACTGGAACTTAAGTAGGAATAAGGAACATGACATACCTGACCCAAAAATTAAGTTGGAAAAAAAATGTCTTTACAAGTAATGATGGTAAAAGGGAGAGCACTCTCTTTTGTCTGGCAGTTTTTGATACACAAGGTGTAGATTTTGCAATTTTGTCCTTGCTCCTGATGAAATGGATAGACAAACAAAAATCAGATCAGATAATACCATCTATTCATGGAATTGTTGTTGTGTTAGCCAGTCTGAAAGCCCACCTTAATTTTTATACAACTGTCTTTTAGCTCTTCCTTTGACAGGGCAGGCCTTGTTCTGAACTGTTTCTCCCTTCTGACTGTTAAACACGATGACTGCATGCGCTACATTTCTTTGTTCTTTCCTTGCTCCCCCATTGGCCTGAGTTTCTTGTGTGCTCCTCCCACCCACCCCCCTCCTCTGTTAGAATAAGTATATCAGCTGTGTAAATAGAGCAAGAAAACAGTATTCTGCATCTGTGACATTTATGTAGAGTTGCAGTTGTGTGCTGCTGAAAATGCAGGCTTTTGTAAACAATGTGATCTTTACTGATGCACTCACAAGTACCCAATGTATTTTAGCTATTTTAGTAGTATTTGTTCAATAAATATGCAAGCTGTATGATCACTGTCTGATCTGCCTCGTCATTGAAGAGTCCTACTTTTTAATGCCTTCACTGATTCATGCTAATTTTTTCTGTTCCCAGACTGCTGAGCCCCAAGCCAGTAAACCCAAGGGCAAATATCAAAAGAGATTGAATCAGTTCTGCCTTTCATGCTTGTCCCCTTTGTAGGGTTTTATGAGATTAGGGGCTTGGCTAGGTGATCATTAAGATGGTATTAGCAGAGCTGCCCACGGACACAAAAGAGAATTAGACTAAAACCTGTTTCCAGTCATATTTTTCCTTCCCACACCCACATGCTTCAATACTTGCTCCTTCTCATTCTATGCTCTTGTGATATTTTTTTATCCATGGCAAAAGACAGCCAACCTCTCTTCTTCATGCAATATTTGGCCTTTCATATAAAAAAAAAGCTTACACTTGTAAGAAGATATGTAGAGCACATGGGCAGCCAAGATGGCGTTGGAAGAGAGTAGAGTGGGCAGAGCCCAATTGATCTGCCAATCAGTGCCTAACCAGCCCGTGAAGGCTCAGGTGCATGATAGGGTGTGACCTTGACAGTGATTGGTTCCTCTTCCTCCCTTACCATGCCACCCACCCTTTTTGTCTTTAAAAGGGGCTGCTCTCTGTTAATAAACGAGTTTTTCTACCTGCTGGATTTGGCTCCCCGCTGTGTCTGATTGTCTCCTGGGCTGAGGGAGGCTAGGGAACGGGCGAGCGCCGCACTTACCTTTCCTCGGACCCCGTCCGTCTTATTGCACAGTGACCTACAGCTACCCAGAAGATGATAAGATGCCATCACCAGAATCTTGTGGAACTCTCATGTCACCCTGAAAACCTGGAGATTTTGGAAGATGTGTGCTCCCCATTTTGAGAAATGCTCACCTGCCTCCTCACCCATTGTGAGATTGAAACCTTAACTTGGCTTCTGCACAAGTTACTAAATTGTCTGGTTGGGCTCAGATACTTTTATCCAAGTGTTTATTGTACCATCAGTTTTAAAAGTCGGATTATCTAGGTAAAAGATCTAGCAATCAGGAGACTGGAATAATGACTTCTACCTTAATATGAGACATGACCCCTCCTCGAAGCCTGCTCCTGATTCTGATCGAAGCTCTCTCTTTTTCTCCCTTAAAGGAAGGGAAACTAACAAATTTTTGGATATATTTTAAGATGAACACACCATCTGAAGTAAAGGAGCTTAGTGTAATTGTAGGCCAAGGATTGGGTGTATGAACAGTTGGAGCTTGAATCACAGCTACTTTGGGTGGAAAAAAGTTTTATATCCCTTAGAACTTTAGAGACAGAAAGTATATGAGGAAAGCATTTAGAAACTAATTTGGGCCTTGCACCACTTCCTTTTATTAATATAAGAAATATTTATAGAATGTTATTAGGAGCTGGAAAAACAAGGAAGTCAGAATAAAGGATGTTTAAAGTTCTGATTTTCTATAGAAGTAAACTTCCTCAGCCTCTATGAAACTTGAAGTATTAGGTGACTGACCTTGCACTCCATTTTATACTGCTCCGTTCATTAAAATCACTAGCCTCGGTCACTTGCATCACCTGCCTGCCCTTGTAGGCATGGCCATTTACATTATTCCAACAAAGGGCTAAGGACTCTCTTCTCTTTTCATTTGATAGCAGGAGCATTGCAAGACCAGGAACATCACATTGGAAACAGAATTTCTGTGATCTTTGTTGATTCCATCTGTACCTTTGCAGCCCTCTTTGGAGTTTTTCAGTCGTGTCCCTCCAGGGACTGAAATCTTATAATAAGAACATATGGGACTAGATCAAGCTACGTTACATATGATCTTCAAACTGAGTGTAATGCTATGTGATGGCTTTCCAAGAAATGTTTTCTTATGGATAATTATAAGGAAATTAATCTTGGGCTGGGAAGGTGGTTCAGTGGTAAAGTGCTTGCCTTGCATGCATAAGGCCCTGGGTTCGATTCCTCAGCACCACATAAGCAGAAAAAGCCGGAAGTGGGGCTGATGCTCAAGTGGTAGAGTGCTAGCCTTCAGCTGAAGAGCTGAGGAACAGTGCCCAGGCCCAGCTTTCATGCCCCACAACTGACCAAAAAAAAAAAAAAATTAATCTTAAGGCCCTCTATATGTAATACATTCTTCTGAAATTTTACTGAGTATGAGTCTAGGTTTTTTAATTGTCTTTCTTCTATATTATTATTTTAAAATATATTTAAAGACCACTGCCCTTAACATGACACCAAAACACCAGATGTAGCAAACAGATTTCCCCTAATGATGGGTCGTTACCATACACTGTGGGCTTTCCCTTCTAATGTATGTGTGAAAGGTGAATAACAAATTACAAATGAGGTATTTGGAATCGTGAATTTTCAGACTTCATCTATATGGAAAAGTAGAACGATGGTGATAGAAGGTTTTATTGGACACCTTTTCCTTTTCATTCCTATTCTTATCAAAGAAATGTCTTGTTCTTGAGAAAATGCTGAGAGACTGAAACAATGAAAAAAAGTGGATAGAAAATGCCAATCACCAAGAATGGTTTTGTCATGTCACTTTATACAAAACATGAAGAGTAGAAATGAAATAGCAAACACTACAGTCCCCAAGAACCATTTCTAGGATATATGTGGTGCAGGAAGCAAAGTAACTTTGAATAGCTAAGGCAGTAATGATTAGTTTATTATATCTTATTCATTTTGTTATATATTAAACTACTTAGCTTATATTTTGAGTTTTGAGCTTGCTGTGTGCCCAGGCTGGCATTCAGCTCCCAGGCTCAAGCAATCCCCCTGCTTATCTCTAAAAAGCTACATGGGCAGAGCTACAGGTTTTGTGCTCTATATTTAGCTGGCTGATTATTTTAAATATAGCTAGAAAGTTTTTTTTGATACCTCCAAATGTTTATAGACATAGAGGATAAAATAATTTCATGTGGATTCTTTCAGATTTGAAGTGCACTAGTTAATAATGTTGTCAGGAGCTATTGTATCAATTCTTGGCATGAAATATTTATTCAATTATAGTCAATTCTCATTTTATCCTATAACATGTTTAATATCAATTTCATAATAGCAACAAAAATTGTGTGCTGTCAGACTAATTACTAGCCTACAACCTTTTCATTATTTTTGATATTTCTGCCAGTCAGCAGTATGCAATAGTTGCATGCAGTTTTGCTGGGGACATGCCATAGTTTGAATAATATTTTCATTTATTTTTGCTTTAAGCTAGTTTTTCAGTTAGAGTCTCTGGCTTTTGCCTTGGCCTGGCCTCAGACTGAGATCTACCAACCTCTTTCTCCCAAGTAGCAAGAATTACAGGTGCATGCCATATCCCCTAACCTGAAAACCAAAAATCTGAAGCAAAATGTCATCAAAGCATTTAACAAAAAAAAAAAAACCATGGTTTTGGCAAAAATAAAAAAGCATCCCTCTGGAATAGATCATGGTGAAGCAAGAAGCTCATGAATCTGCAGGATTCACAGTATTGCATGTGTTCACTGGGCTTACCTCCAAGTAACTACATAGAGGGTGTAGGAAATTAATCCATTCCCTCATACAATACACAGTGCCATTCATGTACAGCTTATCTATTGCACCAAGAGACCTGTGTGGCTATGTGAAAGCCTCATGGAAAGAGAATTTTAAGAATGCACTAATTTGCTGATTCCTTCAAGTTGAGCAGCTTTAATGATTAGTTAGGACCTTTCTGAGCTCAAGGCACCTATTAATTTCCACCAACACACTGGTTCTAACTGAGCTCTCAGAGGCTGCATGAGACAACTGCCTTTTTCCTCAAAGCAGCACCTGTTATACCCTGTTCCCCTGGATTTTTTTTTTCTCCTCCGGGACAAACCATGTCAGTACTCTTAGCTAGTTTTACTGAGACTTAATTTCTGGGATTTTGAACATCCCTTTTTTCCTTATGACAGGAACCCTTGTCTGTGACCAACTTATCATTTAAAAAATGATGTTCACTCTACGGTGCCCTGGCAAGGGTCATGACAGCCAAGTGGAAGGGAGAAGTGAATGTATTAACTCTACACAGCCCCGTGTGCTCTCCCTCACCCCCATTCCTGAGCAAAATCTCTTTCCTACTCTTCATTGTAGTGATAAGGCTCTCATGCACCCTGAGAAAGGAGATAGTAACTTCTTATCTTGGAGACCCCAGGCCATTATTCTCTTATTACTTGGGTTTTGAAGAAAAGATGCTAGATAGCTGGGCAAAAGAAACAAGCAAGAATGCCAAGTCTCCTCTAGGTTGTCTTGGTGAATTATTCCTTAAAATACCCAGGCTAAAC